TTAAAGAGTTTCAGGAAGGAAATTGAAAACAATAAATTATCTGCTATGTATAATGTTAACTATGGGGCAACTGAGGGTGTCAGACAATTGAGAGAATTAAGGATGAGTTAAGAGGAAAGAAACAAAGCAAATAAAAAAAGCAAAGCAAGTAGTAAATCCAGGAAGAACGAAGAGTCATACAAGAAAGAAAATGTAACCAAAATATGTGACTTGGCCTTATCAGGAAACAGTACTTACGGAGTCACAATATAAATAACACTGAAGATGTACTTTAAAAATTATGGCAAATGTAGATCAAAAGGAGAAAGGATGAGTACAAGCTGATCTTCCTTGACAATAATGATAAGAACAGTTACGACCACTCACTGGGTGATGTGCATTACAATGGGAGCTTTTCATCGTGAATCCTCCTAGCAATCCAATAACCTACATACTTTACTCTCCTTTTACAAATGAGAAAACTGAGCTCTGAGGAGGTTAAATCACTTGTCCAAGGTCACACAGCCAGTATGGGGAAGGGCAGGGTTCAAAGTCAGGCAGGCAGGCAGGCCCCATGGTAAAGACATCGGACCACAAAGTCAGTCACCATTTGCCAAAATTAATCAAGAACATAGCTATGCACTTCAGTGTTATTTATACATAACAGAAAAGCAAGCTATTGTAAAACATAGAGGAAAGGACCAGAAGAAGTAGTTTAAAAAGTTGAAAGTGGTTGCTTTCAGGGAGCAGGGCAGAAGTGAAGGACAGGGTAAGGGAATGGTTTTCATCAGTGCCATTTAATTTATATGGTTGTAAAGCTTGTGTGTCCATGAAGAAGACAGGAACTAGGCAGAAGGGGCAGGGGACATAGGGAATGGTGATGGCAAAGCTCCTTATCCTGACTGGGGTTTGGGGTACAGTAAGATTTTGTCCAAACTCAGCAAGTAGTACTCTTAAGATCTGTGTATTTTGGGCAGTGCCTGTGCCTCAGTGAGTAGGGCACCAGCCCCATATATCGAGGGTGGCAGGTTTGAGCCTGGCCCCAGCCAAACTGCAACCAAAAAATAGCCAGGCGTTGTGGTGGGGACCTGTAATCCCAGCTACTCGGGAGGCTGAGGCAAGAGAATCGTCTAAGCCCAAGAGCTGGAGGTTGCTATGAGCTGTGACACCACGGCACTGTATGGAGGGCAACAAAGTGAAACTCTGTCTCTAAAAAAAAAAAAAAAACTGTGTATTTCACTATATGTAAATTTTACCTCCAGAAAAATAACTGTAAATAAATATTGGACTCTAGCTAATGACATGCATACTGAAGTTTTTAAGGGACATACACTTATGTTTACAACTAAATTCGAAAAACTTTTTAATAAGTAAGTTAATGGATAGATAAAGGGATGGGTAGATGGGTAGAGTCTTAGCAGCAATGTCCAACCTTCAGCCCGCGGGCTTCATGCAAATTATTTGAGGCTTGTTTTGCTTGCTTGTGGTGTCAGATATTACAAAAATTATGCACGGGCTTTTTTTTTTTTGGCTCACTGGCTTTTGTTAAGTGTTTGTGTACTTAATGTGTGGCCCAAGACAACTCTTCTTCTAACATGTGACAGAAAAAAAAAACAACCAAAAACAGTTGGACACTCTTATTAGAACAAATACAGCAAAATATTAACAACCATGCATTAATAAGTAGGTATATATGAGTATTCATTGTGTAATTCTTTTTCAACTTTTATGTTTGAAATTTTTCTTTCCTTTTTTTTTTTAAGAGACGAAATTTTACTTTGTCGCCCTCAGTGGAGTGCCATGGCGTCACAGCTCACAGCAACCTCCAGCTCTTGGGCTTAAGCCATTCTCTTGCCTCAGCCTCCCGAGTAGCTGGGACTACAGGCGCCCACCACAACACCTGGCTATTTTTTGTTGCAGTTTGGCCAGGGCTGGGTTCAAACGCCCCGCCCTCAATATATGGGGCCAGCACCCTACCTACTGAGCCACAGTCACTGCCCTGAAATATTTCTTGATAAAATGTTAGGGGAAATATATGAGTGAATTGGCTGGTGCCTATGCTCAGTGGTTAGGACGCTGGTTGCATACACCAGGGCTGGTGGGTTTGAACCCGGTCCAGGCCTGCTAAACAACAGTGACAACTACAACAAAAAAAAGCTGGGCATTGTGGCGGGTGCCTGTAGTCCCAGCTATTTGGGAAGCTGAAGCAAGAAAATCGCTTAAGCCCAAGAGTTTGAGTTTGCTGTGAGCTGTAATGCCACAGCACTCTACTGAGAGTGACATAGTGAAACTCTGTCTCAAAAAAAAAAAAAAAAGAAATATATGAGTGAAATATCTAAAAAATAATATTATAGTTTTTAAAACCTAGATGGGGAGCATTCTGTCTTGAGCCGGGATGGATCAGCCCACCTCTAAAGCCCCACCATGTTCATGTCCGTCTGGGTCAGGAGGTGAGCTGTTCTCATGCTCGCTCCTATGTTTCCACCCTACCCTGGGATCCTAAAGCCAAATTCCCCAGCCCCTCCCTGCTTCCCTGCACACAGAAAGTCAGACATGATAGGGGTCTCTTCCCCCAGCCCCACTGAATGCCTCAGTAACAAAAACAGAACCATTTCACCAGGACAGGAACAGACCCCTGCAGCTACATTCCATCCTCTGGCAAAAGGGGAAACTGAGGTCAGAAGGAGTGTCTTTCCCAGGCCCATCACACCTTCAAGACAAGTGAGCAACCAGGTTGCCTGGCTCCCAAACCCATGTGTATATAATTAGCTGGTGGGAAATGGGTCAAGGAGCAGATCTCATCTCTGCCTAATTAGGAGCTAGGCAGCTGGGGCCAGGCTAGCCCCTGGGAGCTACTGCATAGGCCAGGCAGCCCCAGGAGCGGGAGCAGCAGCTGCAGGCCCTCAGAGGGGCTAAAAAGCAGGCCTGCTTCTCACTACGGCTAATACTCCCAACTGGAGGCAGAACAATAGAGGGGCTGTTTCCACAGATCCCTGAGGCTGGCAGGGTGGGAGCAAGATGGGGAGTGGCAAAAGCCCCCAGCCTGCTCTCTCCACAGATCCCTGCAGGGAAAGCTGGTAGGCTCCAGAGTCCTGGACAGGGGGCACCCTCCCAAGACCAAGTCGCACCTGTTGGGAAAGTTAAGGCTCATTCTGGCACCTTCCCCACTTCCAAGATCCCTCTCTGCTCTCTTTCCAGCAGATTCACCCAGGGCCTTTTTCAGTTACTACTGGCCCAGCTCCTGCGGACTACTCTGGTGTCAGGGCAGAATTCCCTGAACATACCTGATTTACACTGTGCAACTGTTTATAGCCTTGCCCCTTAGCTGCCTGTTCTTTTCTCCGGGATTGGGCAGGGACCATGTCTGTCTTATCCACTGCTGGGTACCGGTGGGTGCTCAATAATAAAATGGCTGGAAGGAAAGTTGCCAAGAAGAGGAAGAGAAGTAGGGGTCATGTTGGGATCAGAACCAGGGATCCAGAGTGTGCTAACTGGGGAATGTCTGGCAGGCCAGGGTGTCTTGCAGACTTGCTGTGCAACAGCCCACAAGTCCCTACTCCTCCTGAGCTCAACGTCTTGCTCTGAGAATATACCTGACGCAATACACTTTGAGGATTCAGTGAGAGGATGAGCCCAGATATCACTCTGAGGAGTCAGTAAGAGGATGAGCCCAGCACTGAAACCTCCTCTAGAAACAAGAGGAGTCCTGTGACCTGAATTTCAGCAGTCAATCTATCCACTTTCTTTAGTTGCCAAGTCACAGTAAGGGACAATGACTTGCACAGAATTCTAGCAGGGTTGCCTGGCAGACGTAGTCTTTGACACCTTCAAGGGATACCACCTCTGCAGAGCCTTCCTGGATTATCACACACACACGTGCCCTGCTCCTGCACTGTCGACACTGCTGGATTCCCGGGGCCAGGTCACTGTCCTCCTCTTGCTTCAGTCTCCCCATCTATGTCACAAGGAGAGGTAGACTTCATTCTCCTGAGCTCCAGAACCATCCTCTTCTATAATAATCCCATTTCTCCTTCTTTCCTCAAACTTCCCAGGCCCATCTCAGGTCCCTGGGGGCTAGTTGGGTACACACAGACAGACAGCTGGGCTGACCTGGATGTTTGTCAACAGCCCAACGGAAATCTCCTCTTTATGCTTAAAATAAAACCTACATCAAACCTGTCACCAGGGCCCCCATTAGAGCTTCCTGTTTCTGAGTGTCACAGCCAAGACAGCCTGCAAAAGAGGAAACACCACCCTAGGGGGTGGGAGAGGCCACCCTAGGCTTTCACCCTTTATGTGCCCAGCCCCAACTCTGGCTACTTCACCAGCCAAGGATGGGGGGTCCTGGCAGGCAATCAGCTTAGAGGGAAACTGGAAGGAGCCGAGACCTCCAAGCCCAGTGCCAGGCCCTCCCCCACCCCTAGCTCCTGGAATATACCAGGAAGGGACGAGACCCAGCCCCAACCCAAGGAGGGCTGTGCTGCCTAACTCTCCCACTGAGGCCCAGGAGGGAGACTGGCTTGTCCAGGATCACCCAGAGTTGGAAGCAAAGCCAGTCACTTTGTGCTGTCCAGCCCAAGCCCCTCTTCCTCCAAGAAGTCTCACTTTCCAAACCTACTCTATGACTGTGTGACCTCGAGTTCAGGGTTTGCCCTCTCTAATCTTCTTTCCCCTTGGGAACTGGGCAGGGGGTGGGGGAGGATCCAAGCTCCCTTTCCCTGGAGTTAGTCCTTTCTCTGCAGGTCCCCTTCCTAGTGCAGGGGCAAGACCCAAGGCCTAGTTCCAGCTTTACCCTGACTCACTCTGGCTATTTCCTCCTCTATGGAGGCCTCCCAGCCTCCCAGGGGATTTAGGCAGATCCCCTGCCCCCCACCTGTAGGGTATGTCTCAAGCCAGGCCAGTTGCTGACCTCATGCTCCACCAAATTGGAGGGTGAAAAATTACTAAATTCCGAAGGCATTACCCCAAGACTTCTCACACCCCTTCCCCTGTGAACACAGAAGAGTCTGAAGGCCCAGCCCTTGAATGACAAGCATTGGTGTTTATTAACCAAGGGAAGGGAAGTCAGAGCAATGGAGACTCCCAACCAGGCCCTCCTATAGTCTACCTACCTAGGCCCACTGCCAAGGACTCAGAAAAACAGTAGATAAGCCCCCTCCTCCCTGCCTCCTCTCCAGCGTATATTCCTGGGAACCAGGACCCATTGGGTAAGAAAGAGGAAGTCAGCAAAGGACAGAGGCTAAGGAAGGAAAGAGGAAACAGAAGCACTGTTGAGACAGGCTTGGTAAGATTTCTTGGCTCCTCACTCTCAGTGAGGGGTGGGGAGTGAAACACCCTAAATGCAGCCCCAAAAGAGGAGCCAAGCAGGGGTTAACTCATGTCAAAAACCCTGTAAGTGGGGATGGGGGTGGCATCCCAAATCAAGAGCAACTCTCTCCAGGGTCAGTCCTTGCCAGAGGACGTGGGGCCATCCAGCTTCTGTCTAAGCCTTTGTCTCTATACCAAGTTCACAAAGGGACTAGCATCTGCTCTGTTCAGATCCAGGGAATGGATGCAAAAGAGGACAGAGGCCAAGTGCCTCCTAAGATCGGTCCTGTGGCAAATTCCAAGTCCAATGGAGGCCTAGCCCTCTGAGGCTGGGATCTCCCGTGCCTGCCTTAACCCATACAGCCACTTAATCACGCGGGCATTTCGCTCTACCACCGAGACTCCGTAGGGCACGCGTTCCCGGGCCCTCTCCTCAACAGTAGCCGAGCTGCGGCGGGAACAGCCTCCATCAGAGCTGCCCGGCCCCGCACTGGGCCCGGCCAGGGACACGATGTCCGAACTGGCCCGTGCCAGGTGAGCCACACCCAATCCCCGTGCCTCCTCCGGGTCCAGGCCGCAGAAGTTAAAAAAGCGCTCTAGGTCAGCGGCCGCCCTAGAGAAGCGCTCACTCAAGTCTGACTTGGAGCGTTGCAAACCCGGTGGCCGAGCTGGGCTAGAGGTGGCGGCAGCGCTCGGTGACGGGCAGGGCCGGGTAGGTGAGGCTGGCAAGGGGCGGACGTCCACTCGGCGCACTGCAGCAGTACTGGGCGGTGGGCGTGGAGGAGTGGCTGGCGGGGCCTGGCGGATTCCCTCTGCAGGCCCGGGAGTACGGCTGACCTCAGCAGGGGACACGGGACTATCACACAAGTTGATGAGGCTGCTAAGAATGTCCAGGTCCAGTTGGGGCCGGCGGCCAGGGCCAGGCAGAGCTCGACGGCTGGGTGTGAGCACTGTGCGGCGAGTCCCAGGGCTAAAGAGTGGCTGTTTGGACAGCAGGGGCTGTACAGGTTCCTGGCGGGTGTTAGCCACATGTATGCTCTTGACGTATTTGGCCTTGTCGGCCTCCAGGCGCTCCACAGCACTCAGTTTCCGGGCTCCACCGTCCGCTGGCCTCCGTAGCAGGTAGCCCGGGACCTTGGTGCGCAGGCGGAAAGGTAGGGCGGGGGCGGCGGGGGCTCCGGGGCTCAGCGTATCCACAGGCATGGCTGTTACATACCCCGAGGGCTTCGGTCTGAGACTGGAGAAATGAAATAACAGAGGTCCAGGCAAAAAGTTGGCTAGATGCCCGCAACGGCTGCAATGAAGGAAAGAAAAAGAGGGACTGAGCGCGCTCAGACAAAGCTGAGCCAAGCTAAGATGCCTTCCCTATTATAAGGTACAGGCCACGCCCCCTGGTTCACAGAGAGCCAATCAGCAAGAGAAAGCAACAGCTGAAGGCCCAGGCCCCACCCCCACCCCTCCCTCCTACCCCAGGGACCAGGCCCAGCTGAGGCAGAAAGAAAAGGTGCTAGAGAAGACCTGGGCAGCCTCAGGCACAAAAAAGACCAATAAATAAATAAAAATGGAGCACAGCAGACTCTAGGTTCTGTGCTGGGACAGTCAGTTCCACCTCTGTTCTCTCAAGAGCTCCATTTTTCAGATGGGGAAATTGAAGCCCAGAGAGGACCCAATTGCTTAGGCTAACCCAGCAAGTGGATGGTTCTGCTCCTTACTCCCAAGCAGGGAGGTACTGGCACAGAGTATTAGGATTAAGTGACCAAGAGAAAGGGCTCCAAACCCACACCCCACCTCGACTGCCCACAAGGAGGCTACCAACTCCACCCAGGCAGGAAGCTGTCCTGTGCCATCTACCCGCCTAGACATGCCAAGCCCCAGGCACAGGAGCAGAGCTTGTAGGGGAGGAGCAGAGAAAATCCCCACTCCCACCCCCACAGAGTCCGGGCACTGTCAGCTTGACTATGGACCCGGATGGCACACAGTGAGCCATGGATGCCCGTCAGGTGGAAACGTAAGCCCTGAGCTATGCTGTTAGGAGAGAAGCCGGAAATGCCCCAGGTCACACAGCCCTGCATGGAGGCACCAAACAGACTCTTGATCTTTCAGCAGCCATAGGATGGGCACTCACAGGCAAGGGGGCCCATGCCTGGGTGCACAAGCATCTACATAGTTGCCCAAGTGTCAGGGCCTGCTGCCCCAGGCACCAGGCCAACCCTGTCCCTGTTTCCAAGGAAGGGATAAGGCCACAAAGAACCATCTCCACTCCGAGGCCTCTGGGAGATGAGAACCTTCTCATTTGTAAAATGTTCCAATCTTCTCATCGATAAAATGGAGGGGATGATGTACTTAGTCTGAGTGTTACTCAAGAGGATTTGCAGTTCAAGCCATTTTGATCTGTGCGGTCCAATTCAATAGCCACTAGTCACATGCAGCTATTCAAGCTTAATATTAAATTAAATAAACACTTGAAATGTGATTCCGGAATCACAGGAGTCACCCTTCAAGTTCTCAATAGTGACATCTGGCCAGTGGTCACTGTACTAGACAGTATGGAATAGACCATTTCTATCCAGGGCAGAAAGCTATATTGGACAACCCAATGTAGACATCGAGAAACCCAGGAAGGACTGAGTCTGAATTGGGGTGGTGAGGCAGCAATCTCTACTATGTGCCACACATTTGACATCATCCTCTCCTATAATCCACCACAGCCCTGTGGGCCATTGTTACCCCATCTTGCAGATGAAGAAACTGAGACTCAGAGAAGTGACTGCCCCAGGTCCCAGAGTAGATAAATATGCACAAATTCATATGAAGTCTACTCTGATACCAATTTCAAAACTGCATTGTTTCTCTCCACAGCACTCCCAATCCCCCCTCCCATTTCTTTTCTCCTCATCATCTATACAAGTAACATATAATTCACTCTATTATGATTAGAGTTGTTATAGTCTTTGCTGCCCCCATCCCCCTAAAATATCAGCCCCATGAGGGCAGGGGGCTTTGTCTGTTTTATCATTCACTGTATCTTAGTTTCAAGATATTGCTGTTGACACATAGCAGGTAGCCAATAAATATTTACTGAACTGAAATACCTAAGGGAGCCAGATGTGAACTGGCAGACTGGGGATGAACTAGATATGGGCACACCCAGACGACTGCTGGCATACGAGTCCAAGATGGAGTGTTCTAGGAAGGTGGAAATCCAAAAGTGCATGAAATTCTAGATTCTTAACTGTGAGCATATTCAATAAAAATGATTTTTAAACCATTACCTGTAGTGGACAAATAAAATATGTTTGCAAACTTATCTGCCCCTTCCTCCTCCACAACCACCAGCTTGAGAGCTCTGCAGCAATAGTAGGCTAAGAAGAGAACTTTGGGGCTACTGTCCCGGAGCAGGTGCTGCTCCTGAGTAGAAGAGACAGTGTAGATGGTCTTGGGACTGGAAGGCTGGCCCCACTCAGGGCCCACCCCCAGGAGACCTCAGGTGACAAAAGTCTGACAGGAAGGCCCGCCTGAAGGAGCCCTGCAGAGGCAGCCAGACTCTGCCCCACCCCTGGGCTGCCACCTCCTAAACCAGTCCAACCCGTTGGCAGTTCTTTCCTGGGCACCATCGGGGAAAGAGGGAGGGAAGGAGGTCAGACGGGCAGGGGCAGGGCTAGGGCAAAAGCCCCACACACAGCCCGCTTGGTTCCCCAGTCCCCGTGGCCTGATCAGCTGGCCCCAAGGTCCCCACAGGCGGGGCCTGGACACATGTAAGGCCAAGTCCGGCTTTGGGGCCCAGCCCACCTGCCTCTGGCTCGCCCACCCGCCCCCTGTGTGCCTTGCGCAAGCAGCTACACCTCTTAACAGACTCGGTTTCCTTATCTATGAAATGCAGTTAAAAATAGACCTTCCCAGGCCTCCAGGTCACAGTAAGGATGGAGAGATCAAACAGGTCGAGGACTTTCCTCAGCATCTGACTAAAAGGCGGGGCTCCGTGAACCATGCTCCCTGTCTTTATTGTGACTTTGGCGAGCCCAGTCCTTAGACCAACCCTCAGGCAAGAGTCTCCAGAAGAGTCTGTCTCAGCCCGACCCTCGGACAAAGGAGGCACATGATAGAGACTAACCAGTGAGCTGACCCAAACAGCCCGTGTCACCGTTACGCAAACCGAGGTACAGCGGCTCCTGGGAGGTGAAGTCAGGGTCCCAGTCCCCAGATGAGACTCAACGTACCCTTTGAGGCCTCCTCTCCTTCTCCCCTCTCAACGTCCCACCCGCGAATTCAAAAGCTGCCTGTGAATGCCCCAAACGCGCAGGCCGGCCGGGGCCCTTCTCCTTAGCCTTCCCCGGGCACATCCCCTCCTCACCCCCTCCCTACCGGCTCGCCTGTAGTCAGCCTCCCGAGCCGCGGAAGGGAGTTGGGAAACTCCAATCCCGTCCGCTTCTGCTCTCCCTCACTTCAGGACAATCTTGGGGACTCCCGGCGACGGAGGGGGCTACGAGAGGACCAGCGCGCGAGTGTGACACTCGCCGCCCCACTCTGAGCCCGGGGTGGCCTGGCTTTCAAATGAGAGAGCTGATGGCACGATTCTGCGGTCCCGTTCAGGCCGAGAGGTAAATTTTTGCCCCGTCCCCGCCATCCTGGGCAGGGGAGGGTGCCCGGGCTACCCCCTGCGCCAATTGAGTTTCCCCACCCTAGCCCGCACGTACCTGGCCGCGCCAGTGCCGCTGACCCGCGCTCCTTCGACTCAGCCCACCTAGGGCTCAGGTAACCTGCGTTTGCGCAACTTCCGGCGGCTCTGGGCAAGTGAACCCGCCAGCCCAGGTGTCACCCGAAAGGGGGAAGGTAAGCCAGGCACTGCCCAGAACCCGAGCTCTGGCGCGCTGGCAGCTGGCGGAGCTCAGGAGCCAGATACGATCAGATCCAGATCCACCCTGGGAAGCTCTTCCGGGAGCCGGGACCCGCCCACCGCACATCTGGAGCACCGGGTCCCGGTGGCCGGTTCAGGCAAGCGCATCCATCTTAGAGACGGAAAAATTGAGCCCCTCCCCCACAATGTCACGACGACCACCAGTGAATGTTCACTGTGCCGGGCATGGGAAAATGCTTTTCTTGGATTCCCATCTTAATCTTCCCAATAATTCCTATGAAGTGTGCTCTATTATTCCCGTTTGACTAATGGAAAACTTAGGCGAGGACTGGCTGCATCCCTAGCCCAAAGTCACCTGGAAGGGCCAACCTAGGCACTTTCCCTCCAGACCAGACTTAACACAACCATTTTCTACCTGTGTGTCCCTGAGCAGGTTGCTGGACCTCTCTGGACCACCATTCTGTCAAGTGAGGACAGTTCCACCCTCTAGAACAGGACATGAGCTCTAAGAGCCTGTAGAAGCTTTATGCAAAGTGTAAACGTCAGTAACAACGGCCAAAACAGTAGTAGTAATAACTAGAATTGTTGAGTGCGGGCACTGTACTCATGTAAAGCTCCAAACCCTCCTGAAAGGGAGGAGCTATTTAATCCCATGACACTACAGCCCTGCAGAAAGGAATCCCAGAGGAAGGTGACTTCCCTCTGTCAGTGGAAACCTATAAATCACTTCAGGTAAGCATATTTGGTTAGGCCATTTTCCATGGGGATCCTGAGGCCCAGAGAAGGAGGTGACCAGGCTTCAAACCTGAATCTTGTTCCATGTCTGTGACCAGTGGGGGCTGAGCCGGGCCTGGGGCACGGGCATGAGGAGGCTGGAAGTGACTTGAGTCAGTTTTCCCTCCCTGTCAGCACTGCAACCTCCTCCAGATTTTTCTACTATATAGTTATGACTTTCCCTTTGTCATTAATAAATATCTTGTGGGAAGAAAAAAAAGAAGCCAAGGTCTCTGGGCACCAAGCTTCCCCAGCAACCCCCAACCCTGCTCCTGGCCTTTATCAACTTGCCCCTCTCCTTCTCCAACCTGAAGTCACAGCCATTCAAGCGGGTTCTGGCCCCTTCTAGCCAAGCCCTATTCTTTCCCCAAAGATACCATGCCCAAATCTCTGCACCTGCTGGTTCTGCTGCCTGCAGTGCCCTTTCCCACTCTGCCCCTTGGCCACCTCTCTAGGGGATGATATGGACTCCAGAACCCATTCAAATCCCAGCTCCACCAGTGACTAGCTAGGAGACTTTAGCTAAGATTCTCAGCTTCGCCATGCCTCAGTTTCCTGAACTATAAAGTGGGACTCACAATGGTGCTTCCCTCCCAAAATGAGGCTGTGCATGACAAATATAACCAAGTGTGAGCTGTGATAATCATTCATTCAAAGCAGACCCTCCATGGCTCGGCACCTGTAGCACAGTAGTTACGGCGTCAGCCACATAC